AAATGGACACCTCTGTACATGCCCACCTACCAAGACTGTCCCCTCTTTTGCCTCTGGATCCCTCACGAGGCCGCAGAGACGTTCTGCCACGAATGGCAAAAATAAAAAAAGAGACCTCCTGTTTTTCGCTTTTTGACTTTGTACAATGTAGTAAATGCATGTTTCAACCCTTTTCTGTGTGCACTCGGAAAGTACCATTGAAGTCGGCTGCCGTCGAGGCCGAGCTCCTCGCCGCCCGCAGCGGTCAAGCGGTAGCGGATTGGTGGAACTGCTGATCAAAGATTCCTCATTATGTTCAATTTAAAGGTGTTTTATATTAAATGATATTGTGACCTTTTGAAAAGATGACGGACATTTCTGTTTTATTTCTCGCCTCTCTTTCCTCACACTGTTTGTCACCATTATGAAAACCATGCAATAATGCTTTATGATTTTAGAGAGGTAGTTAGCCTCTTGGGATTTAGCGATGATTACACATGAACGTTTCAAAACCACCCAAAGGTAAGATAGCATCAAAGTATATCAAAAGAACAGTGCAATACCTTCTTTTCTCTTTATACATAAAAACTGATGACTGCAGCTCCCATGTGTGAACATGAAGCGAGGCGTTGCCGAAAAACTGCAATTGTGCTCAGCAAAAAACCCTCTCTGGATAAATAAAGGTGCGGAGAAGGATGCCAGCTCAAATTAGAATGAGAGCGCTGGAGAAGGTACAAGTTGTGCAGCCGCCAAGTGAAACACAAGTTGTGTTTATGTTTTTGTTCCAGTGATTGCAGTGGAACACCTTCGCCGAGGGTTGGGCAGGAAACACAGGACTCAAGCTGCTTCATTTCTTTCATTCTTACACAATGTGAAAAACAACTTTAGATGAGACGATCAGTCACAGCAAACAAGAAGCTGTGGTTTGATTTGGTCCTCTCAGCCAATCAGCTGACACCTGCAGGAGGGCGGCTCAAAAAAAAACAATTAACTTACTGAATACATTTCAATTATCAGCCATAATATTATAACCATCCGAGGTAGACGTACATCAAGCTAGTGGTGGCTCATCATTGCTTTACGTTTGTTTATAACATCCAGATGAGGAAAAGAGTCCATTTGTGATTTATGGGATGTGTCGATCCTTTACTCTTTAAATAACTATGTACACAGTCTCGTATTTTTACCCTTTTCTCCATTTTCCAATTGGTTTTTGCTCTGAATCAAATGTTTCATGGTCACGAATCATCTTGTAGCTGGTCAGCCTGCTTCCAGGCCAAAAACATTTTATCATACAATTTCTTCTGTAACGTCAGTGGAGACAATGAACAGCAGATTTGCTTCTGGAACCAGAGCCGTTCTGAATGTTGGCCGTCCCTGTTAATTCAATAAACCTGCACCACATTCTACACACTTCAAATCAGTTCCCTAAATATGTCTGATTATTCAAGATTCATCAAGATCCATGAATTATTCCAGGGGGAAATGGTGAAAATGTCAAAGAAAAAGAAAAGCATTCCTGAATTACCTGATCAGGATATGCACCAACATCTGCCCTGACTCATTCCACATCTTTCCACCAAGTTTTGTGATAAACCGTTCAGTTGCTTCTGTGTAATCTAGCTCACAAACAAACCTACAACCATGAAACAAACAGACAGGGGTGAAAACATAACCTCTGTCGTCATATTTAGTTTTTGTGGATGTTGTTATTAGGCTGGAAATCCACATTGAGCATTGACCTCCATGGTTTTCTGTGTGAATGACGGCCACCTACGCACCAGACAGTCGTAAACACTGTTATCGCCACATCGACCCCATCGTACAAATGCTTATCACCCAAGTCATAACAAAAACGAGGCCTCTGGAGGCACAGTGAACACATCGTTCAGTGTCCTCACATGTGAATGAGCTTCAGACACCGTGAACATAACTGGAAATGTTCCTTAAACGCACCAGCCCTTTCCACAACATCCACTCACACCATTTCTTTCAACTGTGACCATAACGTTGTTCATCTTGGCGAACACCTGACCCAGGCCTTTCTGACAGATCTGCGCTTCTCAAACTCCAGGGTGAAACATCTTGTCTCGTTTTGTTTGGATATCTGCCTCTCCGCTAACAGCAAGTTGATGATCTGGTTCGAAACAGCTGTCTGCAGCTGCAACCGACCTCAACCACCCCCAGCTTTCCCTCAAACACAGCGCCTGTGTTCAGTGGGCTTCTCCGGGCGCCCTGCCTGGTTTGGATCCTGTCAGTAGCCGGCAGTTCTCCAGGTGACGCCTCCTCAACCCTCATTTCCTCTGCTGCCTGCCGCTTCTTTCATCTCTCTGTCTCGGACGCCTCGAAGACGTGACTTGGCCCATTTTAGAAAAATTCCTCCCTTTTCTTGTTTACAAAACCGTGCATTGTGTTTTACTACAGGTGCTTAAAGATGTTCTCCCCCCTCCCCTCCTATCAGAGTTTCTTCTTCTCACCCCCTCTCCATCCTTATCCAATAATATGTCACCACACAAGATGAACAAGAGGCTCGGCCTCTATCAGACTTCCTATCAGGCTCTATGTTTGAAACAGGGGCACTAAAAAAAACCTATTCACCACGTAGTCAGCGTTGTGCTCTGTGTCACGCTCCGTCTGCTCTCATCAGGTGTTTACAATCTTGAGAAACGCAGTAAATAGTTTAGTCTCCATGAGGCAACAGCTGAGAGGCTGAAGGTTTCATTGCAAAACACACACTGATAAAAAAAATACTCAGCTTATAAATAATAATGTCGTGTGTGTATGATATTCAAGATGAACCAGAAGAAAACAAACATGCCTCTGGAACTGACTCCTTCAGTCCAAATCTAAAAATACAATGTGCAGGTACGTCAGAACCGAAGCATGAAGACAGAAGAAGTCTGGTGACCTCCAGCACGTGGCCGCTCATCTTCGGGCTGTAAACTCAGCTAATGCTCGTTTTTTTCAGTGTGACAATTATTGAACAAATGCTGGTTGTTGTAAAATCCAGGAGCGTCGAGTCACGTCCAGCCAAGTGAGGTGAGGACAGAGTCTTTCAGCGCCGCGACGCCATGACAGAGACTTCAGAGGAAACGCAACCTGCTGACAGGACGTGCGTTCATGCAGCCGCTCACACATGTGGGAACAAGTGGTTATGAAGTGGGGGTCCAACAGACACGGGGGGGGGGTGCACGTCTGCAAGCATGCACACAACAAAATGCACACATGCACACATTTTGTGTATCAGGAAAACAAATTCCTGAGGTTTTGATAAAGAATATACCTTGGTCATAAGATGAAGAGTTAATGATGAAGTGAGTTAATATATAAACACTTCTTATGTCCCTGCAGCCTCAGGAATCTACACCACAAAACAAGCGTGTTGACTAAGACGTGTCCTGGCAGCAAGTGATGCAAGCTTTTTTAAGCTTTCAGGCATGAAGACCATTCATTTCTCTTGGATACTGGTGCTGTGGTGACTCAACACTGAATCAGCAGGAGCCCGACACATGACACCTGTTTCACAATTTGATTTCCGACATTTTTGTTTCTGGTTCCCGCACCTGTGAGTTGTTTTTTGTTGCAACAGAATGTGTTAATGCAAAGGTGGAGTCGACGTGAGAGACAGGTGATGAAACTGTGCAGGACTTGATTCAAAACAATTAAATACAAATAAAGTCATTACAATAAAAGTTTTTTTATTGGGTTATATATATGGTCAGAGGTGATTCCATCAAAACAAAGAAATACATGAGTTCATTAAATAATAAAAGTACAGTTAAACGTTGCTCCAGGATCCTTTGTGAATGAATAGAATATGTGGTCATAATTAAATCCTCGACTAAACAAAGAGGAATGTGTTTATACTCATTAAATTGTCCTTAAACCGTCTTTCCTCCCATAGATAAAATGATTTTGTGTAATTTGCCTGCAGTGGTTGTCTGTTTTTATTATCAGCTATTATCAGTTTTTATTTGAACAACCACAGAAGACTCTTCACAGATCAACTGGCCCCTGGGCTGCACTTTTAATATTTTAATATAACTGACCAAAGACTCTTTATTTAGTCCAAACGTTAAGTGACGGACATGAGGGAGAATATCTTAATAAAACATCTCTCTCTCTCTCTCTCTATCTATCTATCTATCTATCTATCTATCTATCTATCTATCTATCTATCT